TTAAAATATTAGTAATATAAGCTTAATTAATAAATAAGGAGCTAATATATAATTAGTATATATATATCTTTAAGGCCTATAGACAAAGTATTAGCGAACATAACAGACATATATACATAAATAATTGACTTCGTACGCGAATCCATCTAAGCATGAGAGGAAATCTATAGAGGCCTAGAAGAAGCAGTCCTATAGCACAATGTACGACTACTCCTTAATCCTATCCTTTACCTCTGCTCGTACAGGCAATAAAACTAAGGCGCGTTTACCTCTCAGGGGAATGCGTCTAAAACACGAGAAGCACACGCTACAAACCCACTAGAGAAGCAAGATCAAGCTCAGGATCTAGTAGCACAACTAGAGCGTGTAGAGCAAGCCCTAACAAGATTAGCCCTAGTCCTCTAATCAAAGAGAAAACCTTAGTTGTATATAGACGCCACCTGACAGCGGCCTGTAAAGCCCCTTAAGTTAAGATATAATTATAAAGTAAACTTATTAATTACTTATTTTATTAAGTTTATTAGTATATTAATATACTTATTAATTTTCTTTTTATTATAAAAAGAAAAATGTTAAAGTACCGCCTTGCAAGAGGATATTGTTTACCTGTTGTGGTCCTGTCCTTGACTATCTAAATCTATCTAGATCTATTTAGTAATAGCCTAATAAGGATTTCTTGTGCTAAGGCACAGGAAATTAAGGTATATAATTATTAATATAGTGCTAAGCTGCTTTAGGAATTTAGCTATATATATATAACTAAATTCTCTGATAATAGCTATAGGCTAGTAGTGTATTTGCGCTTACTACTTGTATGCTTAACCTATAACCGTAGTAGCTGTAGGTTTTAACACTCTTACTTAAGCGTGTAATTAAATAAGTAACTATAGCGCAAATATACAAGAAACAAAAAGATATCACTATTCTATATCCTCTTATAGTGTTTACCTAAAGAGGTGAACATGGCATAAGTGATGCAGAACCTGTTACAGAAAGTAAAAGAACAAGATAGCATATAATGACGCTAGAGGAGCAAACTAGTAAACAAAACTAATTATAATACATCCTAGAAGACAAAAACCAAGGAGGTAAAGAGCAGAAACAGTGATAGCCATTAGTATAGCAAATACAGAACCGCGGGGTGCTTTAAGAATACTTTCTTTAGAAACGCAAGAGCGAATAGCAAAGAGGGCGTTATGACTCTCTAAGACTATTACTAGTAGAGGCAGAAAGTAATAGCCTAATCTTAAGGAAGAGGGAGAACAAGGTACTATAGACTAGACTCTATAGGCTGCCTCTCTTTTAAGAACCTTAAAGTTAAGAAGACAAAAGAAGATATTAAACTTAGTACTTAAAAGACCTTTTATATAATTATTTATAATTATTTTATATATATAATAATAATATATCTTAATATCCTNNNNACTAGATTATATACTTTATTATTAGAATTAAGACTATTAACTCTGCTTCTTTTATAAATATTATAATTAACTTTTGCTTATAACTTGCCTAAGGGATAAGGTTACTAATAAACTTAAAGATAAGGTTTAATATTAATTATTTATTATCTTTATTAAAAGTAAAAATAAAGTTAGAATAACTAATAATTTATTTAAGCTTTAATTATGCCTTATAATAGATCTGAAACGCTTTTATTATGTATAGATATTAAAGGAGATACTTAATAATAGTCTTATAATAGATGCTTAAATTACTTATATATTAATTAAGCTTTAATATTACAAAATAAATATTAGAGCATAAGTATACTATTATAAATATTATATTACTAATCTTTCTTTAATAATCTCTAATCTTATTAAGCTCTTTATTATTTTG